CTTCGTCAATGATGCGTTGAGTTCGTTGGTCAAAGCTTACCAAGTACAAGCAAACAATATCAACAACATCATAAAACCGAATAGTCCATGCAATTTCCGGCAAACACATGCAAAAACATGGTAGACCCAAATCACTACCCTGCCTCAGCCAGTGTTTGGGGGTCTGGACCCAGGCACATGCTGCAAAACATTGGTGCATTTTCCGGTGCCTCTTCGGCCCCGGATCAAAAGGCATCCATTCCTCCGTCATGTGGAAGAACCTGAAATTGCCTTCGTGACCCGGCCTGTGGAAGTCAGCCGATATCACCCACTTATCCCATCTCACCCCTCTCACTCCAGCCATACTGGGTTTTCCCACAAGGATTTTCCCATCAAGCACCAGGAGCGTGGTGGAATACTCCAACTCTCCCGTGATTAGCTCTTGCCTCACTGTTGGCACGGCGTGATGATGATCCATGGTGAATGGGTATGGGCAGGGGTAGGTGATAATTATCACGTCCCTTTTTGGCGTTTATGTCTATCCTCACACGGGTAGGATGGTGCATTAGTACCTTCTGGAGAGCTTTTGGGCTACGCTGATTGATGTTTCATACCACAATCCCGCTAAACATGTGTAATATATAGATAGTCATACTCAATCCCACACCATGCACAAGCGAAAAGTAGCCTTCCAAACACCACCTTTAAACATAAATTCAATCCACCAAATTGAAAAAAGACACACCTTTTTCGCCACACCACCACCTGTTTGTGTTTTCCACTGTCCAAACAACTGAGATCGTCTGGGAACCCCTGCAAGATCCATGTCTCATCCAACCCATCAGGTGCCAGCCGCATAGCCTGCTCCTTGCTCTCTACCTCAGGGCGTCCGGCGTCCATTTTTCATGAGTTCTGGTCATCCCAAGCCCTTCACAGAACACCAAAACGCCAAAAAACGCTTGATGTTCAAGCTGCGACGTTCGAGTCTGTTCCCAGTCGGTGCCTGTTCCGAGTCTGTTCAGCAGTCCGAGCAAAAGCCGGAACTCAAAACCGTGTCCTGGGTCGCCGTGTTTGGGTGTCGGCCGTGGCGACCATGGGTGAACAAAAACCAGGTGAACCCATTCGGACAGGATCTGAAAGAAAGACAATAGAACCTATCGGCATCTGTTCGGTTTTTGCACACTTGTTCACAGCTAGTAGGGCCCTGAGCTTCGGATCCCGCAAGTCTTCGGACTTGGGAGCAAACCTGCCACACCTGGAATCAGCTCCGCCATTCGCCGCCTGTCACCAACCTCTTTTCATGACGGTGCTCTGACCAGCCGTTTTGGAGTGGTCCGCAACCAACGAATCGGCTCTGAATTTAGCGACCGCCTTCGTGACCACGTGGCCCAACAACAGTCATGTTCTGGTCCCAAAAATGGTGCAACATCACCAAAATCTCTTAGCGTGCGCCAAAGCACCAACAACAGGGCGCTCCTTGCTTCAACTCGCTTCCGCCACGGTTCGGACGCGAACGAGCAGCGTTCGGTTCCTCCAAACGGAGGAGCCCAACGTTGGACCTCTACGAGACGAGACGAAGACGAGACTCCGGCCGCTAATGGTACGTATACAACGGTTTCTTTTTAAAGAACGGTTGCAGCACTCGGAGCGAGGAGCTGAGATGTGGAAGGTGCACGTGTTGGATTTCTTTTTGCCTGCGCTTACTCGATGGTGGTTGAAGGTGCCTGCAGCACACGTGTTGTTCCAGTCTCCATCCACTGAGTACTTGTTGGGCTCCGCAGGCGGCGTGAAGATGGACCTTTTGCTTCGCGTCCGCAGGCGGCGTGTTGAACGCGTTCTTCATCCACTTTGAACGCCCTGGCGCGCTGGCAGCTGCTACCTCCCCCAACTCTTGGCGCGGTGGCTCGGTACCGACCGACTTCACTACGGGTACCGACCAGTTCACGGCCCTCCGGGGACTGGGGGTTTTGGGTCCAGGACTGGAGCGTTTAAGTCACAGAATTGAAGACATTCAGCCCCAACGTGTGTTGAAGGCCGCACATCGGCTTCAGCCCCAACTCACCAGCAAATGAAGAGCGGGTGACATCTGAAAGTTGGTCATGCATGATTTGTAGCGCATGGATTGCCGTTTGTCAAAGGAAGGCATTCCTTCATCCATGTTTTTGTCATGGCCTCAAAAGGAGGGGTGGGAGACCCACACGACTCGGCTGGCTCACCATGGTTTGGTGAAGCACGGTTTTTGACTTCCAAGATTCGCTTGGATAGCCTCCATGTCTTCCAGCAAGTGATTTTTGTTTGCAGGTTTCTTGGTGGATCAATGCGACTTTGCAGACTTTGCAGGTGCTGTTTTTGTGAGGCAAGTCGCTGGGCGACTAGAAACCTCCTTGCCTCAGCCTCCTTGCAACATCCTTCTCAGTTTCAGGCGGTGGAGGTTTCACGATCCTTCTCCACAAGGCTCTTGCTGAGCCGGAGGTGGTAGCTCAGCAAGGCTCAGTCCCTGAGCAGGACGTCGCGACGTCCTCGGGGACTGAGCCAAGGTCTGCGAATAGAAGGTCGTGATCATGTCGCTCCTCCGATCCTCAAGGCCCACGTGGAGCAGGATTTGCACCCCCAGACGAGACTAGAGCGCGGCGCGAGACAAAGGTCTGCGGCGCCAGCGGTTATGTCAACACGGTCGCGTCAAAGGTCTGCTCCAAAAAACGAGATCGACGCGGTTTGGATTTTTCAGGAAGAAGACGTGAACAAGGTTGAAAGAGGACATGGATCACTTGCAATAACAAGGATGTACTTCCGTGATCTGATGACAAAAACGACGTTCTCTGTTCCCAAAATACGCAAAGCTCCGATTACCTCGAAACCTTGCTGCTGAGTTAAGTTTTGGGCGCAAAAGGCTTGCACAAAGCTGCTGGATTTGGTGCGCTCGGCATACATCTGTATATCTCTCTCAGAGTCTCTTATGATATATTACAATATATATAATTGGGTCTATCATCCTATTACCTGTAACTGTGGATGATGATGGTTAGTAGAGGCCTTGTTCAGAAATAGTGATAATTGTTTACTGACTGTTGCAGGTAATAGGACAGACCCTATATATAAATGGGCTCCATAAATAAATCGACACATACCAATCCAATAGCTTCTCACTATACTTCTCACTAAAGGGTCTACGGACGTTCAACGAAGAACACTATACAACCGCATCTGAACATGGATCGCATCTAAAATTGTTCCCATCATTGGACCCACATCAACCAAAAACAACAAACTTTCCCTCCCAAGCCACATGGGCAGCAAAAACAGCAGGTCTGGCTCGGTACTTGCCCAAAAACATAGACAAATAATGACAATAAATCATACGAAACCAGTTTTGGCGTCTTTGTGCAAAGAACAAAACAACAAACAAAAACAACAAAAACAACACAAACACCACGAAGTGGACGATATCATCCAAGAGGCGATGTAGGTATTCTTGCCGAAGGTGCCGATCGCTGGCCTCGGGCGGACCAAAACGGATCTTCCGTTCGAATCGTCTAAGACTCAGGCGACCAGGTCTTAGCTGTTTCAAACTGAGGTCATGGGGTCCGTTCCTTTGTATGATTCTGAGCCCTACATACGTCCAGTCTGGGTCAAGATCCAAACCTGGTCCAAACTACATCCTCTTTAGTGGTTTTCTTTGTATGACCACGTCCAGTATTTTATGAGGTCCGTTACTGACCTGGGAGTGATGTTGCTTTTTGTAGGATCAACTAAAGGACCCCGCCGCTTCAGCGGGGATGTTGGCCGAAAGCGGAAGTGAAACAGCCGAGACACGTCTCACCAAGCAGTAAATGGGAATTGGCAAAGCCCAGGAGCAGCTAATCCTGGTATATAGTTTGTTCGATGAAGTGGAAGTCAAACCAAATTACCCACGTATGGAACGAACACTTGCTTTTTTTTGCACTTCAACAGCCATGTGGTCGAGCCTGTAGCCTACAGCCAGTAGCAAATACCCAAATAAATGTCAAGAATATCCTTCAAAGTCACCCTGGAACCAGGAATTCCATGCACTTCCAGGCCTACCAAAGGCAGGCCTGAGCCTGTCAGACATGTCACTTGTCCCCCACCAGACCTACCAGGACCCACATGAGCTCCCCGAGCTTCAGAATGCACGGGTATGTCCTCAATGGCAAGCACGAGTCACTTGGAATCCTCACCCACTATGGAACATGGATATGGATATTTCTGCTTACTTGCTAGTGAAAGAGACAAACGAGACACGGGAATCAAACAAACAGTTCAATGTACAACACCTACAAAGCAACTGGCACAGCTCTGATCATTGCATGAGGACTGCTCCGCAACGTTTTGTTTGGTGGTCTTGGACTCCCACAGGCTGTTAGAACACGGGAGTCTACATCAACCAAGAAGATGTGCTCTACTTGCGCGGTGAACATCATGCCAAACCCCGCTTTTGTTCGATCAAAGAGTTGCTTTTCGAACAAGAACTTAGCACACCATTGGTAACTCTCCGACATCCTCTTGCTTCATGTCTTTTCATCATGATGATCCACGTCTGCCAGTCATGCTTGCCACAAGTTGGCCAGTGGGCAACCGCTTGCAGAGTTCGGTGTGATTGGATTTCTCCAACTGTTTATGCTTTCGGGCTAAACCCACGGCTTCAACATCGTGACAGAATCGTTGACTTGGCCGAGCACGTTTGCACTAGAAGCAACTTCAGCCATTCAATATTTCAACAGCGTCGTGTTTTGTGTTTAAACAACCCTCAAACTGTGCTCAAAATTCTTGCCACATGGATGACCTCGATGAGCTAAAAGCAACAAAAGTAAGCCATGAAGCTGTTCCTATCTCAACATCGGTCAATCCACTCCAGCTTTGGCAAAACACGGGCATTGGAGCAATCCCCTAGCATCTGTAGCAGCTCCTTCTGCAACACCCACACTCATTAACGCTGGTTCTCCGGGTGAGCAAAACACAAGAAGCAAACAAACAGTTCAATGTACAACACCTACAGAGCAACTGGCACAGCTCTGATCATTGAATGAGAACTGCTCCGGAACGTTTTGTCTGGTGGTCTCGGACTCCCACAGGTTGTTTGAACACAGGAGTCTACTTGAACCAAGAAGACATGCTCTACTTGCGAGGTGAACACAAAGAATGAGTGGCTTTTCAAACAATAAGCACAAACTGTGCTCAAGATTCTTGCCACATAGATGACCTTGTAAGGCTATCCTCAACGTCGGTCAATCCACTCCAGCGCTTTGGCAAAACCAGTGGAAGTCCACTCAATATTCTGCAAGGGGCAGTAGCACCCCACCGCCCTGCAGCTTTTTTTTTGGAAAGGGTCTAGCTGGTGAATTTGCCATCAGTGGTTAAAGTAGCTATGTATCAAAAAGCCTGTCCTTGAAGTGCCTAATTTGGCCGGAGAAGGCCCAGGTACAGCCTCTCAAGTACCTGTTTGTTGGGAGTGAACAAGTGCCATTTCTTGCACTGTTCAACTCACAGTGTCTGCCTCTGCCAAAATTGAAACAAGGAAACTCATCAAGGATCAAATCCTCCCACCTGCCGACGAAAGTCGATCAAGGCCTTCTTCAGGAGCCGGAAGAAAGGAGCCTCACCTTTCTTCATACCTTGGATTTGCTTGTTTGCAACCAGGACAATTTGAAAATATTATTTGGGAAAACAAAAACATAACCTTAGGCAAAACCAGGATACAAATGACGCCCACCAAGGCCGAAAGAGTCATACAAGCGAGAGTATGTCCGATCTGGCCAGGGACTCGGGACTCATTGGTGATACCTTGCGCAAGGCATCATATGGAACGCAAGCAGTTTTGTTTGACAAGAACTCTTCACACCACCCAGCTTCAATTCAGAAAGTTCCGGTGAAAAATCTAGCTGGCCAGTTGCTGTGATCATGGATTCGACGGATGGCCAGCTCGCGCTCCACGAGGTCCAGAAGGACGGTTGCTCCTGGATGATTGCTTGCCTCTACTTTGATCCACAAATATGGAAGGACCACTTCCTCAGATGAAGGAACCAGTGGCTTTCTGTGCCAACCCGCAAGCGGGCTAAACAAGCACTCCCCCCACAAATCAATCGTGCTCGGAACAGGAAAACTCTTCGACGTTCATTGGAGTGTCAAGCAATCTCACTTTGGACCATGAGCTCACAATCCTCCGTTGACCCTGATTGAAGCTGACTGCTCGCTGTTGGTGGGAAGCATGGCAAAAGCCACATTCGGCATCCTGCAAGGCGAGATGACTCTGTCGGTGTTCGGGCTCACTTCGTTGCAGTTCTTTGGTTTTCTTTGGCGCCAGCATCCAAACGGGATGTTCATCTTTACGGAATGTGCGACTGGCGCAAAACACGCGGACCCAGTAAAATGCTGAACAGTGCCCAGACCTGAGAATGTTCGAGTGAGCCAACGTTCATCCCATGCGAGTGGGAATACCTGATTCTACGTAATTCCAGACAGTTTAGATGCAAAGAACTGATTTTGCTGTGCCTTTGGACAATTCTTGTCCACGTGTAGGGGGGCTACAGGGACATGATTGCATAACTATAAAGGCAGTCCACGTCACCCCAAACATGCACTTACCCCCCAGCTGTTCTGAACTTTTCTTCTTACGCACAAATATCAAATGCGAATCCAGTACATGTTGCCACCTCAGCTTCTGGCAAAGCCCCAACAATGCGGCACAAGAGCATCCTTCGATACGGAGGATCCTACAATGACGGACTGCTGGTCATTGTCCCACACTTTTTGAGCGACTTGAGTGTTGAGCGAATCTCGGCCCTATTCTTAAAGTTCCTTCACCTGGGGGGGGTATTCAAACTATTTCACATTGTAGGCTACACATGGCCACGCGAAGACAAACCTAAATTCATATAACGGGTCATAACAAACATGATTTTGGCTTTCTTTGCTACAACCATCCCAACACCAAAGCCATGGGACTCTGGCGTTCCCACCTCTTGACACTTTCCATGAAGAAATAGGATGCATGACCGGTTGCAAACCTCTGGATGTTCGTGGCTGCCGTGCGAGATGCCTCGCAAGAAGGGCGGTGTTCAGTGGTCCATCGAGCCAAGATTGGACAGGTGAAGAGATTACTGCGGTAATCTGACCTCTTTGCCAACGGTCCAAAAAAATGTGGTTTTCCCGCCAAACACCCTGAAGAAAATGGTTGTATCAAAAAAAACTGACAATGATGTACCTCAAAACTGATTGCTTGGACATACTTTGCCAAATGTTGCACATGCAAGCACTCCGGCCAAACCCCTCAGCATCCCCCCTGCCTGGCTTTGGAAATACCAATGCGCGTTGCATCTGATCCCTCACATGTTGTGACCGTTGGTACAACTTCCTCACCTCACAGGAAATTCAGATTCAACTTCCTCACCAAGCAAAAAAACAACGACCCGCAACTGGTCTATTCAGAGTCCGAATCTGTAATTGTTCCACAGTACTATTGGCCAGTCCTAGCCCTAGTACGTGGTGGTGGTGGTGGTGGTGGTCGTGGTCGTGGTAGTCGTAGTCGTAGTAGTCGTAGTAGTCGTAGTAGTCGTAGTAGTAGTAGTAGTAGTAGGGTGGTAGTGGTAGTGGTCCACCTGTTTTTTGTTTACTAGGGACATCAATGCCCATGGTTATCCACTGACTGGGTAGGGGTCTATAGTCGTAAAGTAGTAGTTGTTGTTACCCTGGACGTCAGGTCTGTCCCTTCAACTTCCTCAAATCTCCGATGCAACAATTCAACCAGCACCTAAAAGGAAATATCAGCTTTGCTATGCGAAAAGAGTATATAACTATTCCATCATGCTAGGAGCAAGAAGCTACTAGTAGCTCCTGGCATTACTATAGTAACAAGGAAGCTACTAGTAACAAGGGCATCACTATGAAGGGAGCAAGGATGCTAAACATTCTCACACCCCAGTGTTCACTGCGTGTCGACTTCACCGGTGGACAGGCAAATCTACGATCCTCTGCTTAATCTACGGCGCCTGGATGTGGCTCTGCCATTCGGGCCAGCGCCATTCGATCTCTGACAGCTCGGGACAGCTCTGACCTCGCTGAGCTCGATGCGAATCTCTAAAGGCTGGCTCTTCATGGATGAAGCTGAAGCGATAGCAAAGCTTCGCCATGGGAGGACAACGGTGGTCGTGGCACAAACGAAACTGCCCACTGCTTGAGAGACGGGGGCTTCGCCATGGAAGATGTAAAGAAGAGCAGCCCGGTCGTCGAAGCCCTCCGTTCCAGCAATGGAAGCCCGTTCCGTCGTTAAAGCGTTGAAATGCGTTGAAACAATGCATGTATAGACACGACTGGACCAACTCAACCGGACCGAGCGTTCACGAAGTGAACGCAGCATCCGTGAGGATCGACCGCAGCATGTGGAGAGAATCCCGCAGCTGCGATTCAGGGGTCGGACCCGAAGCAAACCCGACCAATGCATCTGGGCATATGTGTTGGAGCGTCTGGATCCAAGTAGCTTCTCAGAAGGTGATTGGAGACACTGTTATGTATACATTTGGAGGAGTGCCTTGTGAGAAGGTACTTGGATCCCTAGGGTTAGGGGAAAGGAAGTCAGCAAAGATTCTGCACGGAATCCCATTCTGCACGGAATCCCATCGAATTCTTTCCCAAAGAGACTGATTCTCTGAAAACACCCTCCAAAGATACCACCCCCCTAAGCCATCTGTACAGGATGTCGGGAATGAAACTCGCCGGCCCCCCGGCCTTTTTTCGGCGGTCTCCCCTTTGGCCTTCCAATCCAAGGGGCGCGTCACTAAAGAAGTCGAAGTGTTGGGGCAGCAAAGACAACAAACCTGCATCTGCATCTGCCGTGTCGTTCCAGCATGTCAACTATTCAATCCATTGGATCAGGCTGTATCTCCTTATTTTATATGGTGCATCCGCATGTTCCCAACGTCGGGCCAGTCTGCCGCAACACTGCTCAGTCCGCGAGTCCGCTTGTCTTGGCCTAAGCTGGCCGCCAACGTCCGCAGCTTCCCCTGGCATCAGACGTTCCGTCGAAGGGAACTGGTCGAGTTGGGCGGAGACCCGCCCTGAGACCGTTGAGGAAGACATCCGTGGTTCGTTCCAGATGATTCGCCTCTGGACTTGGTGGACTTTTTGGTCATTCAACTATGATTGGTGGCTCGAGTTGGGCTTGGGCTTGAGGTGCACAGTATAGAACTGTGTTCGAGCGAGGAAACACAAGTCTCACATCTCGTATGCCCCACCAAAGCATCGCAGCGGCGGATGCGGAGGTGGTTAAACAAGACCAAGAATTGCTTTCGGGCCATCTTTCGAGGAAAGTGGGACTGCAGGGCGGTGAAGCGAGGCCATTTTGTCATGGGAATTGTAAAACCAGCAAAGCACCATTCCGGATTCAAAGCCAGCCCTGAGTTACATTATATTGGCTTGCAACATCTGCCGCGAGATCCTGCGGGTGAAGAAGTCAGTTCTTGGCACCAAAGAATGCCAATAAGAACCGACACCAGAAAAGACAAGATAAATCAACCAAGGAATGCCAATCTGTTCCTCCAGCCCTCTTTTCAACTCCTGGAAGGCCCATTTTTACGCGCCGCATTTCACAGGCCGCGCTCCAAGAACAAATCCACCCATCCTGCGCTCCGCGATGGCCGGCCGCGCTCCGCTTCTCTCGAGCGGACGGCCACTCGGCCGAGCGCGGCCGACCGCGGCCACGATTCGTCAGCACGAGGGACCGCGAAGTACGGCGCGCACCTTGTTCCGCAAAACATCCTTAGTGGCTTCGGTGCTCAACACGTGCATGTAGCTGCGGGGTCAGGTACGGTACGACGACTGGATCTCATGAGGGACGGACGTGCACCGCCGTCTACGGGTCTCTTCGACTGCGTAACGGTTAGCTTAGCTCACCCCACGGTGAACTGGATGGATAGCTAGGAGATGCTAGAACTCGACATGCGAATTCAAACAAAATGGCTACTGGGTAATTAGACTGACCAAAAGCTCAAGAAGTGCAAAACATAAAAAGGAACAAAATACACAACAAGACTTGTTTGACCGCTGGTAGCTTTGGACCCGAGCTGAGCTGAGGCTCAAGGGCCTTGGAAAACAAGACCTTCAAACCAGGCATCATATTCCAGATTCCAGGACCTTCCAACAGGTGGTTTTTGGACACCCCCTTTTCCTCCAAGAGGCTATTTATAGGCACCTCTTGGATCCTGGTTGTTTCTGGCTTCAGATCTTTCAAAAGGAACCTTGCTTGTTGTCTCTTCGCGTGGGGCCGACATGGGCCGACACCCTGTTTCGTTGCGGGTTTACAAGATGTGGTCTTTCCTTCCGCCGCTTTTTGCAGGGTTTGTTGGTTTGTAATTAATGGTTTGTAAGTTGAAAAGATCAACCTATTAGGTGACACCTTGTGAGCAAAAACGATCGAATCTACGAAAGCTACATGAATCACACTGAAATACCTGTGATTGGCTTTGCGAGTGATGGCGTGGCTGAATTAAATCAAAGAGTTGCGCTGCGTGCTGTTTTGCAGGGAAACATGTCAGTAGTTTCAGAGTAGAAGGCACAGACCCAAGATGTCCTTATGGAGGTCCATCTAAATCACATTTGGGGATTGTGCCACCCGGAAACCACTGTACACGAGCTTGGTAGAAAATCGGACAGAGTCGCCCTAGCCAAGAACCAAACTGCAGGGGCTGTGATATAGTAACAAGTGCCCGTCATTTGGCGGGTCTTTTGACCTGGGGACTCGGGTGACCTACCAAGGATTAGGGGTTTTGGGTTTTGACTCACTGCCATTTCATTCCAAGGTGGAGGCCGTCGCTACCAGGGTGGAGGCCATCTCTACTAGGGAGGCCATCGCGACTAGTAGCAAGAAGCTAGTAGGTTGGAGGCCATTACTACTAGTAGCAAGGACGCTATTCGATACCAAGGTTCCACAATCTTCGGATCGCAGGTCAGAAGCTTCCAGCCTGCGCTTCTGGGTCGCTTCCGCTTTTTCTGGGGCCAAAGGGTTTGGACGTTCAAGAATGCCCCCCAAAAGCCTCAAGGCTATTTGATTGCTCCCCAAAAACGACCGATGGGCTGTCCAGGAAGCCGGGATAAAAAGACACATATTTACCAAAGTAAAAAAAACATTAAACAAAAACACATCCGGAAAAGAAACAATCCTCCTAAGCAAAAACCGGGTAGATATCATGTATAAATATTAATATATACACGGACATTGACCCCTGAAAAAGACACACCACCCCAAATCTATGTGAACCAGTCCACTAAGTCGTGTCTGGGTTCTCACAGCCGTCGCCAGGAAGAGCCGCCTCGTCTCGGCCGATGAAGGCGGCGGCCGATGAATCCGTTCGCGAAGGCGGCGACATGTCGTTTCACGCGGATGCGACGCCGATGCGACGCGTGGTGGAGATGGAGCTCTTGGGTTTCTGAATGGCTGTGGATCACCAGGCAACCCTGAAAAAAAGACCACGGGCCAAGAAGAGAATGATTGACCAAACAAACCAGCCAGAGCTCCAGGCTTTAACTCACTTGACCAGGCTTCCCCTGGAAGGAGAAGAGGTCACAAACCTCTTTGAGTGTGGGGGGGGTCCTTGCGAAATACCCATCTCCCACTACCGGTGCCCACTGGATGATTTGGACCAAAAACACACCCGAAAAATCGATGGATCCAGATTGATCTTGGCGTGTCCACTGCCGAGTCCGCTCAGCGCTCACCGGGGCATGGCCTTCGAACCGTCCCGTCTGGCCTCTCTCTCGAAGAGCCGCAGCATTCTCGGCCTAGGTCAGGGGGGGGTGCCCAGGGTTCCAACACAGGTTGAAGAACCCGAACTAGACCAGCCCAGTTGGGTACCCTAGGTGACGGGTCCTAGTTCAGGTCACTTCACCTCTCTCGGTTGGTGGAAAGGGGTCCTGGCCGATCCGGTGTTCGGCCGCCGTGTTGAGGACGTCCTCGGACGCATCGTACAGTGTCAGGAACGGACCTCATGAAAGCAACTGGACGTCTGTGATACCAAAAACACCACGAAAAAGACATGTCAGGAACGGACCAGGTTTGGATCTTGACCCAGAGACGTACGTAGGGAAGTGCTTCAAATGGTGAATGGTCTTAAAATCATCTATAAAAGATTCTGCCATGCGATCCAAAACCATCGATCTTCTCGAAACCTTCTTTCAAGGCCTTGACCAAATCGATCGATCAACCTCCACACAGCCATGGGTCATAGCACTGGTCGAAGACCGACCAGTTGACGAAGACCGACTGCATCGGTGTGGACGACCTACCGACCGTCACCTGGGTGGGACATGGCGGCGCCATCCCCTTGGGTCTATCCGAGTCAGGGCCAGGGGATGTTGGGGCCTTCCTATTCAAAAAACCCACCTTGGGTGTATCCCATTCCCTGGGCCCAGCTGGATGATGGGTCAGCTGCAGGTCAGCCGGCCGACATCTCCGTCGTCTACCGACCTGTTACAGGTAAGCTCGGAGAAACCTGATGCCATCGCCCAAAGTCTCGGACAGATCCTGCCGCCCGGCAGGATCTGTTTTTTTCTCCACACAGTTGCACAGACTGGCGATGCCACACAGCACCTGGGCACAAATAGTTCACGGCTTCAAAAGAATCACCACCATGCTCTAAAGTGAGCCTTCTAAAGTCAAACATGTCTCTGTAGGGAGGCATCAAACACTTGTCTTTTTTGGGGGGGCACCTGGCTCAAAGCCAGTCAAGTTCCATGATGAAAGCTTCAACAACTGCTATGGACGGGCAACAAGGACACCACTTGGTTTGGTGTTTCAACACTGGCATTGGTTGACTGCTGTGGACTGGATTGAGGTTGGTTTGTTGGACACCTCTGGGTGGCAATCCTGTACAGGATCGAAACATGCGGAGAAGCAAAAACAAAGGCATGGGCTGCAGAAATCTGCAGTAAACATCCACAGAAGTAGACGTCCAAGTGGAGGCTGAATGTATGTCATCAGCAACCTTTCTAGGCCACACACTTCTATGCATACAGCGGTTGTGTCAAATGTTGAAATTTGAAGGAATTGTTGGAGTGTCGTCAAACGATTAATTTTTGATTACGTAGTTTGTAAACCTTAGCACTTCCAATGGATGCCCAGGGTAGTCTATTGGACACCCATTGGATGATCCTGGAAGGAAATGTCTCATGTTTAGTTTTGCCAGCTGGACGGAGGAATA